TATGTTTGACAGTTATGACCACATTTGACATACATATTTAAGTTTGTAGAACAAGCATGTGATAAATGACTTACTGCTGGAAGCCGCTGTGTGAGGGGGGGACACGTCCCCCCTGTCCCCCCTGGGATCTCTGCCTATGCAAATGAATGTTATACAAAATCACAAAATGTATACAAAATTCAATGCAGAACATGTGTAGGGGTGCAAAAAAATCAAGTACTTGATATGTAGTGCAAATATTGTTTTAACGCTTTTTTATTAAAACATCCATTAATCAGTGTTCTATAGGGCTTGAGTGGGAACTTACTGAGAAACCCTGACTGTAGTTTAGTTTCTACTTTCACTTGTCTCTCTCTGGTCTCTCTTCAAATCCCCCAACACACACACACACACACACACACGCACACACACACACATGCATGCACGCACGCACACACACACACTTACTCACTCACTCACACACACACTGGTGAATTGGGCGGGGAAAACGGGTCTTAATAAGCCTTTTTATGCATGCTTTAGTTGGCCATTTGTCAGGGCGCCTGGGACATTTTAAGCTCCCAACAAAATTTGATGTGCTTTATAGAGGCTCAAAGATCAGTTTTAGTTTGCTGATAAACTGCATTCTTGGTCTCCTTTAAGGCTTTGTAGTTTCTAACTTGGTTTTTCATGCTGAATATTGCACAATTCCAATCGTCTACCTTTTTAATGCATCTCTTGTTTAGATAAATATGCAGCTGCTGTCACTTTTTCTAAACAGAAATTTGAGTCACGGGTAACAATACTGGAATCTACAGAGCAGACACTGTTAAAATAATAAAAGGAACTAGTCTGGGCATGTGCAGTTGTAGTAGAGATGGATTAGAGCAGTGCAGTTGATACATTTTGGTAAAATTACAATATAATTTACTTGCTTGCACTGCTTTGGCTTAGATTGTGAACCTGGTGTCTTTGGCATTTGTGAGCCAGTGGCTCTCATAGGAGACTGGTACTCCCCATTCCCCACCTTCCATGAATAGATTGGCCACAGTCGGCAGTCAGTCACACACTTAATCAAATGAAGGGGAAAAGCAAAACAAGTAAAAGAACATTGTCGTTCTGTACGTGCCTACAATTTCAGAGAACCGCACAAGAATTTCCTTCAAGCATAAGACTCATTTCAAACTTGACGAGAAACCGGTTCTCCTTTAGGACAAAACTACCAAACAAGCTGAGCGGCATCATGCATGCAGTTCCGTGCAGAGGAATGCTCCTTTACACAAGTGGATGGCAAAGGACCAGCTCAGTAGGTCAAGACAGGACAGAGATGTGCACATTTTGGATAGGGATGCCTCGACTCTTATCTCCACACAGTTGCACAACCAGTCACACCTTGGATCACGCGATCTGCCACTCACCTTTGCCCTTGTTCTATAAATAACATGAACACTTTTTCATCCACTGAAAAAAGGCTACATTGGAAACCAAAAAAGGAAAAAAAAAAAATTTAAATACATAATTTGATCCAAATATTGAGGATACAGGCGATGGGGAGCCTACGTTCACACTGCAGGCCTTGATACCCATTTCTGATTTTTTGAGTAAATCTTTTTTTGTTTTTGTTTGTTTGTTTAGCTGTTCACACTATGACTGAAATGCGACACCAAACTCTCTCCAGTATAATCGCTTCATGGCCCCAAAGTGACCCTCACACGCAGAAGACAAGAAGTCACACTCAGTGGAGCCCAAACTAGAAGCGGTGGAGTTGTGATGTAATCCTGATCCTGTGGATAAACTATCAGTGAAAACTTTCACACTTGTTAATTCTTTCGTTTTGGATTGGAAACTGTTTTAAAAACTGTAAACTATTTTACTCCCACTGTCTCCCTGAATTATTATTTACCAAAACTGTTCCGGTATTAATTCATTCACGGAGAATCCCCACTCCTGAACCCTTCTGTCAGCGCTCTCCTCAGGAACATCCACACACGACACTCACCTCCACTGACTCAGTGATGTGGGAGACGGATTTAATGCTACATGACCGTTCAGACTGCAGTCACTTTCAAAAACATCAGATATGTATTGGAATTAGTAATACATATTCAAGTGACACAGATCGCATTTTAAAAAATCGCGTCTGTGCCGTTCTGACGGTCTCATGTGGGGAAAAAAAGCTGATTTGATGCACTTTTGCCTGCAGTGTGAACATAGCCTAAGTCTCCTTCCTTACCGGTCGTCTCATGGGGAGTCAACGGGACTAAAAGAGCCATTTTCTAATCCGCTTTGCCTTATGCCCTGGATCACACATATGCTGTACTGCAATTTAAATGAAAAATAATGATGGGTGTTTCGACCACGCCAGTCACGTACCTTGAGATTTATCAGCTTATAAAAGTTCGTTCAGGGACCCATGGTACAGAAGTAGATGGACGCAACTTAGGCTCCCTATAGCTCAAAATTATTTGTAGCTTAACCATTTTTTATGAGAAAGATCAGCATATGGTCAGGAGTCACACATGTGTGCAATCCTTTGACAGTAACCCCTTCTTTCCACTGGATGCAAAAGTATCACATAATTGCTGCGAAATGCACTACGCTGCAGTTAGCCTATATTATAGTGGATGAATTCCTTTCCACCGGCAGCACAGTGTAACATTCTGGGGGCGCCCCAGAAGCTAGGTGATGCTATCATTTCGTTTCGAGTATTTATTACACATTACGCTTCCAAAACACGTCAAACTCCATTCTTGTGTGTCGGTGGATGTTTGCGTGTGTCTTTCTTCTCAACCCCAGTGAGTCGTAGCAGATGGCTACTGAGACAGAATCCTCTGAAGTTTTCTCTTTGTTACTCAACTCAACTTGATCTTTATTTATATAGTGCTTTACAGGTACAAAGTAACATCAAAGTGCTGTACAGGAAATAAGAGGCTGAGCAGCAAAATTAAAAGCAGTTAGTACATAACAAAAAGTGGTTTAAAACGGAATAAAAAAATTTGTACACACTAAAATAAGGTTTAAAATTGCAATATTAATGGCAGGAAAGAAAGTCCAGGTCATATAAAAACGTCTTCAGCCTAACTTTAAAAACTGCCACTGAAATGGAAGCCTTCACAGAGATGGGTAGCTCATTCTAAAGCTTAGGGTCTGCTTCAGAAAATGACCTGTCACCTCGCGTCTTGAGGTATTAGTGGCAGACACTGAGCAGATTGAAGAACGCATCGCGGAAAAAGTCTGAAAATATCAACGTTTATTCACTTTTGACTGGAGTACAAAGATGGGCAGCAAGCGTTTTATTTGAAGACGGAAAATACGAGAAAAGTATGTTTAGAGGTGCCGATCGCATAAAGATGTGGAGAGGAATGAGGGACCTGAGGCATTAGAATGAGGATTGCTGTAAAGACACTGATGCCAGTCAGTGACTCTATGCAATTCGCTGGCTTCTTTATATAGGAACCTTTTACTGATTGGCTTAATTAACTGAGCTATATTAGAAAGTTTACTATGAAGTGCCTTGAGACGACTCTTGCCGTGACTTGGTGCCATATTTAAAAAAAAAGGGACCAACATTAAGAATTATTTAGGATTTGTAATGTGGGGCGACGGTGGCACGGGAGTTATGTGCTCGTCCCGTAATCGGAAGGTCGCAGGTTCGAGCCCCCGCTCAGTCTGTCACTGTCGTTGTGTCCTTGGGCAAGACACTTAACCCACGTTGCCTGCTGGTGGTGGTCGGAGGGACCGGTGGCGCCAGTGCTCAACAGCCTCGCCTCTGTCAGTGCGCCCCAGGGCAGCTGTGGCTACATCGTAGCTCATCCCCACCAGTGTGTGAATGTGTGTGTGAATGGGTGAATGACTGATTGTGTTGTAAAGCGCCTTGAGGGGTTCCATGACTCTAGAAGGCGCTATATCAAACACAGGCCATTTACCATTTAATTCCTGTAACTGAATCCTGTCGGATGGTGAATCAGTGTTTTGTGATGCTGGGAGGGTCGCCTCGGTTCGGCCCTCTTCTCGTGGCTGTGTGTCAAATGAGACAACTCGGGTACACGGAGGCTCTAGCTGACATGCACACAGCTCAGAGTCCGCACATAACAACCCAACCTTTTGTCTCTTCTTTGCCCCCCCCCCCATGCACCCACACAGAGCCTGTAATGTTGTGGAGAAAGAACGTCTTTATCTTTGCTTTCAACCGACTCATCTCCATCCCATATTTTAGTCTCTATTCAAGACCGGATTCAACAGACTGATGACAACACGCCTACAGCAACACTCTAGCCACCCACACAGGCTTTGACATTGAGACGTAAAGGTTCACACACACACACATGCACACACACACACACACACACACACACACCAGACTGCACAGAGGCCCTCCTTATCATTTATTATTTATTTATTTTATTTTATTAAAAAATATATTTAATTGATTTTATTTATTTATTTTTCATCAACAAGATAGTAGGTTTCAGGGTTGTGTCTAAACTAACCAGGTTAGTCTCTGTTCTCTAATCAGTATGTGTCTGTTGAACATGGCCGAGCACCGTGGTGTTTTTATTTTTTTTATTCTGCTCTGCTCTAAGAGGAGGAGATAAGGGGGGCTGGACAGAGGCTTGCCAAATCAGATGAGTGAGCAGTTGGGAGGAGGAAGCTTGGAAATTGGAAAAGGAGATGACTGCAAAGGAAAAAGGAGAGCAGGAAAAGGAGGGGCAGGGGACGTAGAAGACGGAGAGTGTTTGAAGTGTGAGTTACAGGGAAAAAGGGACCCGGAGAGAGAAGATGGAGAGCGAGAGGGAGGGTGGGTGAGGCTAGTATAAAAGATGAAGGCGGGGTTGTGGTTTGTGTCATGTGATCTACTCGCTGACTGTAGCTTGGTGAGCTCCAGGTGGCACGGAGACCACAGACACGGCACATGCAGAGCGAAGGAGGGAGCGAGACTCGCCACAAACAACTGAAGTCCCTCACTTCCTCTCTCCTGCCTCACAAATTTCTCTTTCTCTTGTTTCCCCCGTGTCCTTCAGGAATTCCTCCCCATCCCACTCGTCAGCGCTCCTCGCTCTCCCCTCCCGGCCTCAGCAGGCCAGGGAATGTCCCGGCGGTGAGATGCCTTATGTGGACCGACAGAACCGCATCTGTGGCTTTCTGGACATTGAGGAGAATGAGAGCAGTGGAAAGTTTCTCCGACGTTACTTCATATTGGACACACAGCAGGGGAGCTTGGTGTGGTTCATGGACAACCCACAGGTAACCACACAGAGCAGAGTTAGCTTAGCTTATTTTTGTAGCTATAACAGAATGGTAGTTATAAGATTATGTCAGAGTAACGAAACACACGTAGTCTACTGCAGGAACCTCGTGGCTAAGCGCTCTCCATTCATTGCAGAAACAAAATGAAGCGTTCTCTAAATGTTTCCACTGCCAAGCAGCCCCACGAGGGCAGAGGAAGGTGTAATTATGTAATTCTAGCTGACAAAATTGGGAAGCCCATATTTTAGGGACAGGAGTATCTTAAGGCAAGCTGGGTTTTAGACTCAGCTTTAGGATAGGGTTGGAGGAAGCTGATGGTTTAAATAAAAACCTTTAGTTTTCTAGATATCTGAATGAGCCCTTAAGTGTTTATGATTCTTGATGTGTGTGTTTATGGGTAAAATTCTGTAGTTTGCTTCACGCTGGCTCATAAACCCTGTTTGTAAGTGCACTGTTGCATGAGGTAGTCATAAAAGATACATTGCAAGAGAAATAGTAAATAATTAAGTCCACGTCTTTTTATAGATTTGAAACAGTTAAAATTTAATGCCGTTAAATCTGGCTCTCTTAGTTTCTGAAACACAGCAAAGCGCTGGTGTTAACTATTATGGAGGGCAGCCAGACTTTGCTGTACTTACATCGGCTTGCTCAGCAGAGCTGTTTTCCACAAAGGTCCAGTCAATAACAATGATGGTGTTGCAACAATACACTTTTGTTTAAGCTCTCGTTTTTATTTTTGACAAATGTTTCCTCAGAATCTTCCTGTTGGTACAGACTGCGTCGGCTCGCTCAAGCTCACCTACATCTCCAAGGTAAACAGAACAACGATTGTAGTGTTCCTTAAAATAAGATACGATTTCACTGATATACAATAACATTTTGATAGAATTGGTAAAAGAACAACTGTGTTGCTCCACCTCTAGGTCAGCGATGCTACTAAGCTGAGACCAAAAGCGGAGTTCTGCTTTGGTAAGTAGGTGTCGAATATCTTATCTGACTATAATTTATGAACCTTCAGCATCTACTGAGATATTAATGATAATCTGCTTTATTAAGGTGCAGGCTTGATGTGATTAGTGGTTTAGGCCAATGGTTCCCAACCTTTTCTTCTTAAGAACCCCCTTACCTGTGTCCAAGACAAGCCAGGTCCCCCAACTCCTACTCACATACACACATTAAAAGTGAATAATTAAAGACTTTATACAGACATACAGAGTTATAACTGTTATCCAGAGCTTTCATTTTACTAGTGGGTGTGTTATTCAGACTATAATGTAATTATTACAAATCTAATATGGGTAAACTGGTAATTGTAGCACATACACAATTGAGGTGACCCCCTGCAAACTCGAGAGGACCCCTTGGGGGCTCATATACTCTATATTGAGAGCCAATGGTTTAGAGTAATACCTAACTAATACCAGGTGTGTTTGGAGTGTTATGGCAGCGATGCAGGTTTGTACCGTCTACAGCGGCACGTCTATCCCAATCCTTTTTTTTTTTAACTCACCATCCACGCCCAAACCAAATTATTATTTTGGTTTATGCCTTCTCCTTTTTGGTGTTGTTGTAAAAAGGACATCTGTTGTCATGTATAACTGTAATCGTCTTGTAATATCTGTGAAGTGAAATACTCAGCTAATGGCTGCCATTGTTGTCGATGGGTGTGTTTCCACTGGGTGTGTCTTGGATACATCCCAGGAGCGTAGCGTCACACTGTTCAGCTAAATGAATGATTTAACCTGCTGAGTTCACCGGTAAAACCCGTCTGTTACGTTACGCGCCGCTTACGCATCCGGCGGAAAGCCCGAGTGAGGTTGTGATTCTCCACTGGAAGGATAAAACCTTCATAATCCCTGACAAAAACCACACTGATGCCGTCCTCAAAAGATGCACAAAGCAAATGAGCTTTTTGATCGCTTGTAAATGTGTCACAAATCTGAATTTGTCTTTAATTTAGAAATGTACCTGATGTTTTGCAGATTGTTTGATTTCCTGTCTAGCTCTGTGTTAACTGCAGTTCTTAACGCATGACGCATCCAAATTATAACCCAAGCGTATCTTCAGCTGTGCTTTTGAGACATGCGACGCGTCAGGCATAAACCAAACACATGGACTATAACGGCTTCTGTTAGCCGTGCAGATGCACCGTTACCGTAACGCACCGCTCATGCACCCTGTGTAAATTAGGGTAAGATGTATCGTTAATTTAATATGAAGTGAGAATGTTTGCTCTCTTTGCACTACTCCTGTCATGAAGAGACACACTGTTGTATGTTTAGTCAACACAAAGCCAGCAGCAGGCTGCATTGGGTTCATGTTGACGCAAGTAAACTTCAGATCGTCAGCGGAGTCTGTTGTCAGAGCTTTTCATCTCCTTTTTTCTTTATATTGGTCTAACTTATTAAAGACTTCCTGTAGAGTTTCTAGTGGAAACAACATTTTTTATAATGATCCCAAAAGCATCTCAAGAATGTTGGTTTTGTCTCTGAACTCTGGTGGATTCCACCTTCTTTTATGTGCTTTCATTGGAAGGCTTGATGCTTTGTAACACACAAAGGCAGAATGAGGAGACAGTTTAGTCACTTGTGAGTCAATAATGATGGCAAAGCCAAGTCAGTGACCACTTGGCCAGCATGGTGGGCGATGGGGGGAACGGGTTCTGTCACATAAAGGTCACGTCTCAGACAGATATTTGACACTTGTGAACAATCAAAGATGAATAAATGCTGATTATTTTTATTTTGCTCGCTGGGTGTTTGTCGCTCTCTCGTGCTCTCCCCCTCTCTCAAATACCTAACTGAAGACGTATAAAAGGACATTGTACTCAAAGGTTAAAGTCACTTTATCACTGCTGCATCCTTTACAGTTATTTGCTGTAAACGTCTGCAGTGGTAATTTATTGTTTCCCACTCCTAAAAGAGGCAGACAAGGCATGCTAGCTAGGGATAGACCGATACTTCGGGACGATATTTACCCATTTTTTTTCATATATCTGCATCAGCCGATACACCTCCTTTAATAAAGCTGATTAAAAGTCAGGCACATCCCCGGGCAGCCTGGTGCTGTTCCAGGACTTAATTTAAATGAATATTTACATTCTCGAATAACATCTGCATATGACATGCTCAAAATTATTCTCAACTAAAATGTATTTTTATTTACCGCTTTTGAATATTTAATACTTGGTCAGTTTATTGATTTGTTTGATTAACTTTATTTAGATGTCTGACCTTAACACTGAGCAGTGCACAAAATTAAGATTAAACAACAGTTGGATATCGGTCGACCTCTAATGCCAACACCAATCTAGCTGCATGTGGCGTCCCGTTCACACATTTAGTCATTTTCTTACATTATCCAAACTGTTAATGTTTTCTGTAACATTGAGCAGATTGTTTATCCATCGTTTTTCTAAAGAAACAAACACTCATCTAATCACTGTGATGTGATGTCAGGCTTTTATGTTTTTTTCCCCCACTTCAATTAAATAATAATCAATTTCCCTCTGAGATTAATAAAGTATTTTTGAATTGAATTGAATTAAAGCCCTTAGTTTAAAAATATTGCTTTGAAATGGCATGGAAACCTCAAACTGATGCATTAACATATAAAACCTAAAAATGTAGCGTCGAGGCCCAGTTCGACATAATGTTCTTCCTTGTCTCAGCTGCTGGAATCTGTTCGTTCCTACAAATATTAGAGATTTCAAGGAATGTTGGGAAAACTTGCATTTAGAAAGAGACTCTTTAAAAACACAAATCAAGTTTTATTTAGAAATTCTGTTGTGTAGTTTTTTCCCCCCCATTACCTCATTCTTAAATGTTATTTCTAATTTATTTTAAGGCTCAACATCTTTGTTCGGGATCAACCCTGCTCTTCTTTGATTTAGTTCCTGTCAGGGACATAAAGTTTCCTTACGTCGCTCCCACAGAGAATCGTTTACGACAAAGAAATGTCTTCATGTGCCCTTGACTTCTCATTCCTCTGAGAGCAAGATGAAAGTGAGACATGTTTCCTAAATCTGAGCCATCATCGGGTTATTTAGGAATAAACTTCCATTCTTGTTATTGTTTACTAGCCTTTCGCCTCCCCTTCCATCAGATTCAATCACAGGAAATGCTAAAGTGACAAGAAGTTGGCCGTGTTGCTGTGCGTGCGTGCCTGTATATTGTCTTGCCATGTGTGCTCCACATGCCTGGTTGAGGTTTCAACAGGATGCCGACATCCTAATCGGAACCCGATTCAGTGATGTACGGGGTTATTTTTAAAGCGCCTTTTGTGCACCACATGTTTAGCTGTTATCTATAAACGCGTCTCCCTGTCTTCCTGCTCCTAGAAAACGTACCCAGTAGCTGTCATACTTCAGATGATTTCAGACTAAAAACCTTCTCAGTAATTGATCACATTCTGTAAATACTGGTGTGTTTTTTAATTAGAGGGAGAAGCACCACTGTACTCACTGAACACTTGAGTCTTTCTCCAGCATCAACACGTCTGCGTCTTTGCAAAACTTTAAAATATTAGTGTTGGCCGTTGTGTTTATTTAAGAAGTATTTGAAAAAATGACGGAAGCCTTGGATGTGTCTGGGAGCTGGAGGAAACTCATGAAACTTGAATGAATGATGTTAATTGTGACACAGTGTTTGCCTTGTGCCTTTTACAGCTCGGCCTTGACAATTATACCAGCCCAGCTTTAATGTAATTCATTACCATGGTGTCAAAATGAATCAGAAGACACAAGGAGGCTTTGAACAGCAGAACTGAGGGATTCCTGGCAGAGAGGAGATCTCTCAACTCCTAAGTCCTGATCCAGAGCTAATCTGCTTCTGACCACAACATTTCTGGGATTAAAAATGTGCTGTGCTCTTGTTCAAATAGGTGTGAACATTTGCAAAGAAGTTTGCGGGGGGAAACTGTACCTTTTGGGCCACCACAGTGGGAAAGTAAATGCAGTATCAGTTGTATCTTCACACACCAGCTGTATGGTGACAGTTCGTATCATTCTTCTTCCATCTTCTCTAGAATAACTATGATGAGGAGGCTGCGTATTAAAAACTACAAATGAAATGAAAACAAACTTTTATACCAAACAGCTGTTAGTATTTTAATATTGTGGTGCTTCACAAACTAAAACACAGCTCCTTGTACTTCAGTTCCTCTCCTTTCCCCTCTGAACAAATTGTGTGATAGGTGGGTCTTTGTAGTTTTATAAACTGCAAATTAAACTGGACCTCTGAGTTCTGAGGAGAAAGTGAATGCTCTTAACCCATTAGCTGATATGAACGAAAGCTAAAATATCAAGCTAACGTTATCTTTAACAGTTAATTGGCCTGCTGGAGCAGATGGACAATAATGCCTCCCTTAGATCGTTGTTGATGTTGTCTTCATTATCACCCAGTCACCTATCGCATTTAGTGAAGTGGACCCAAACATTAGAGGCTTTCTCTTTGCCGTTCTGCTTGCTCTGTTTACAGCTCGGCCGCAGGCAGCTAATGACAACATTATGCTTTTGCGCATGCACTGCTGTCTATATTGGCAAATCGCTGTCCCGCAAGTTCTTGGTAATGAAGGATGGGTACCAAAACAAGGCACCATTTTGTATCACGTGAATCGGTCATATCGTATCTCTCATGATATCGTAAAATATGCAAATTCTTGCCCAAGAAAAACATTATATATCATGATGTGCTAATTTTAAGAAGTAGATGCATCTTTTACGCAGCAGATTACACTTACATGGGTCATGCAGCTCAGAGGTATTAAAGCCACATTTACCTTGTTGTTATTTAAAAAGGGACGTCTTGAGTTGTCTAATGTAGCACACCAAAAAGCCTGGGCCATTTCTGACCTGCTTTCATATTTAAGTTGGCACTTCAGAGTTACTCTCCACAGAGAGGGTAGCTTTGCTATGCAAAAAATCACCTCAGACAGATATGCACACAGACTTCAGACATTACGCAACATAAGTGTCCACTAGGTGGGAAGGTAGGGTTTGGACTCTCCTCACTTCAGTGCATGCAGCCGCAGAGCAGCGCTCATCACTTTTGTTTGGACAGGGGAGGGAGATAATGGGTTAGAGGGCACATTGACTCCTATATACGGTTCCACGGCCTTCTCCGGTCACAGTCCCGCCCAGGCTGGGATAGGGAGAAGAGTTACCATAGCGACGGCAACATTCCGCATTTCTTCTGAGGGGGGAGTTATCACTTAAGCCTCACGGGCTCCAAGGGCACCAGATTCAGATAAAAATTGTTTTGGTGACAGACAGAGATACTTTCCTCTCTGCCTTAATGTTCTGTTGGTCTACAACCGCTCTAGATCCAATAATGGCGTAATTAATCAATCCCAATCCGTGCTGATCCGTCCACTCGCTCCTTGATGGTATCCACCTTTTGTGCCAGAGCCTGAATCTCAGCCAAAGTTCCAAACTTACGACTCATCTCGACAATTATGAGTCGAACTGAAGCAATGCAGCTACAAGCTAACCCAAAGCCAACGCAGAGGTGGGAGCTAAGCTAACGAAGGTAGCGACAACCGGAGTTAACTGTGCACAACACCGGAGCTTCTGAGTCAGAGATACGACGGGCTGACCGCTGGGTAAAACCGGGTGGGACACAGAGGTCTCCCGAGAGCCGAGGCTCAGGTTGAGGCCTTTCCCCGGAGCTAGCTCTGTGGTCACGTGGGTCTGATGCTCATTAATTATACAGAATTTTAGGCTTTTAATACACTTAAACAGAAGAGTGACAAAAAAATTCACCCCCCTCAGAGTTGTCATGAATGTAAACTAGATAATTTAAACCAAAAACATGTTTTGGTACCAGGCTGTAAACATGTTTATTTCTACTGTGAAATTGGTATTTTTAACATGGGAGTCAATGAGGATTTGCTCGCTTCTGACACCAGCCCCCAGCGGATGAGGGTGGAACTGCAAATTTTGTCACTCTTGTTTTGCTTCACATCAAGACCCGAATTATGTGGGCTTGGTTTTAACACATCATAAGCAAGACATGCCTCCTTACAGTAGCATGTCCCAACCCACTTTAACGTCTGCAACATATAATCGTTTGTAGGGGATGCTAGCTGTGGAACAACGCTAGCCTGAGCTAGTTCTAACATCCTTGTTGAATGGAAGGAAAACGACAGTTTGAGCACTCTTATCCCAGGATGTACTGGGAATGTCCTCTTTCTGGAAAACAGACTAGACTGGAGAACAACTTTTCTGTAAGTTTTGTCAACACGTGATCAACCGGATGATCGATTAGAGTCAGAGAGGGTAAAGTGGTAAGCTAGTGGTAGCAACGCCTGGTAATTCTAAATTCACTGGTTTTATATTTATGTTGATCTAAACTTTATTGGGTCTTCTTGTTTGAAAATACATCAATTTTTTTTGTTTTTTTAACTCAAGATATTGTCCAGTCCTCATGAAAATTCAAATGAGCAGGAACTGGCAGGTGTTAACTTACCTGAGCCAGTACTGGTGTGTGCATTTATCTGATGTTTGATTCAGTGTCAATCAGATGTTTGTGTTTGTGACAGTAATTATTTTCTCTCCTATTGTTTCCTACACCTTTTTATGACTCGTTAGTCATCAATGCGAAGATGAGGAAGTACTTCCTGCAGGCCAATGATCAGCAGGACCTGGTGGATTGGGTCAACACTCTCAATAAAGCCACAAAGATCACTGTGAGTCAAACATTTGGCCATCTTCTCTTTCGTGTTGAAAAAGTTCTTTCCTTCTTTTATTTCTTCAAACGGACTAAGAACATTTTCAAGGAAATAGACGTGAGTAAAGCATGACTAACAGGAAGCCGGACTGCTGAGTTGAGTTTTGGGATAAAGGACCGTTTCCATTATGGTCTCTTTCTTGGCCACACAGCGAGAGAATGGATGTAAAATGTGTTTAAAGCTCATCAACTGCTTCCTATGCTAGTGTACGTGCTCTACTTAAACCTAAGAGATGTATGTTTCTCCCTAAGGTGCCAAAGTTATCTGACAACCAGCAGAACTCGGAGAACCAGAGGGCTTTGCCTGACGTCGTGGGACCCAAGAAACAAGTTTCCTACAAGACGGAGATAATTGGAGGCGTGCCCATTGTCACTCCGACACAGGTATACGAGTGTCCAAATAGATGTTGTGGCTGAGGACAAAGCTCCCACGCTTTAAGGGAAAAACGAGAGTAGCTTCATAGTGATGTGGTCCAATGATCCTCATTCTTATAGCTTGCAGAGTTTCTTTTGCAACTTGTCTCTAAAAACAACCTATGAAGGCTTCCCCTGGTGAAGAAAATAAAATCACAGGCTTGCTCTGATTGGCTGCTCCGTTTTTCTGATCACCACCACTCAATATTCGCTTTGATGGTAACTTTTGATCATGATTGCTCAAAAATACAATGGAGTTTGAACTTTTGTTACAGCGTCAACAAATAATCCAAGAAGGTGGATAAAATTTCCACATCCTGCAAAGTTATTGCAATTTTAATCATCACTGGCTACCAGAATTGAACGGGTCATCCATGCTCTTGCTCTCAGACAAGCTGTGTGTGTTTGTCTGCTCTTTTTGTCCTGAATAAACTTTTATATCCAACATCAAATCTTGTTTTTACACTTGCAGCACGAAGGCGGTGACGTTGCAAACAAATCAGAGCGTGAGGCGATGCAGCGTTCCCACAGCCAGCTGCCATATTTCTTGGGAAGGACAGCTCAGGACCACACTGTCATCAAGTCGGGGTACTGCGTCAAGCAAGGAGCTGTAGTGAGTGACTCATGCTGCCTCAGGGTTCTCTAGACCGGTTGGGTTTCACACGGGTCAGAGAGGCTCTTCACACTGTTGATTCAGCTCTTTTTTTCCCAGTTTACTGCAGAAACACACATGTACTCTAGCTGGAAAGCTACAGAACATTTCTAAACACATTGTCTCCTTTTTTTTCCCCCCAGATGAAGAACTGGAAACGTCGTTATTTCCTCCTGGAAGAAAACTCCATGAGTTACTTCAAGTCAGATTTGGTAATTAGCTTTTATTAATTATATAGAGCACTTAAGTGTTGTTCTATGCTTTTTTGAGGGCTGGGGGTGTTAACTATTTTAAAGAAGTAAAAGGGGATTTATTTCAGGCTCCCAGATGTAGGAGGAGCACCCAAGTTTCAGCTTGTATTATTCCCAGACTGGAATTCACTGCCTTCACATGTCCAGTCATGCCTGGCTAACTCCAGCCTCTCTTAAACAAACACACACACAAACGCACACAGTGTGTGTGTGTGTTGCACATCCTGTACCCTGTCCTTGTCAAGGTCTGCCCTATTTGACACGTTTATCTGTGTATTCGGCGATCAACAGACCCGACAGATGCAGACACTGTGTCTGCGTTTTAGTTTGGGGTTTGCACTCTGCTCGCTTCTTCTGTCAATGTGAACTCTTGACTCTCGGTAAGGACAGCGTTTTCTTTTCTATTAGGAGAAAGAGCCTCTGAGGATGATCCCGCTAAAAGAAGTTCATAAAGTCCAGGAGTGCAAACAGAGGTATTTAACATGCCCCGGCATTTTCCCATCGTGTTTGAAAAAAGATTAGATTTAGATCAGTTCTAGATTAGACAAATGGGATTCAACTCGTTCTCCTCTTTGCTGTAGTGACATCATGATGAGAGATAATCTGTTTGAAGTTGTCACAACATCAAGGACGTTTTATATCCAGGTCTGTAGTTTTTATCATGAAGCTACAACTGCTAAATTCTCCATATTTTGTCTTTGCCTCTTGCTGTTTTCTGCTCCTGGTAACATTTGTTTCTTTTTTCCTGCTTTTACCAGGCGGACAGTCCAGAGGAGATGCACAGCTGGATCAAGGCTGTCTCGGGGGCCATTGTGGCCCAGCGGGGGCCCGGGAGGTCGGCTGCCACTGTACGTATCTCCAACAGCACCACATGCTACACCAAGTTTTGTTTCAACTCAGGTTGGGTGGAAATCCCTTAAAGAAGTGACAGGATTGGAGCCCGAGGTTTGCAGTGACATCTAGTGGTAGGAAGAGCGAACTTACAATAATGAATGAAACTTGTTTGTGTGGTTTTAATCTAGTTTATTCATCTTCTGTTTCTTATTCCCACATAATCTCACTCTGCTTCAGTGAGAATCAATTTTTACATAATTTTTAACTATCTGAGGTTTCATTGTTTAGTTCCATCAGTCTGCAGGGGGGAACAAAAGCATTCGATGAGACATGAAACCTTCCACGTCAGAGGAAACTCGAGTTTCGTTTCGAGCATCGGTTTGTCCCTTCCTCCTAGCCTGGGATAAATCTCTGCACAGCGTTCTTCTCCTGCCTTGTTTCTCTTCTTTCCCCTCTGTCTTCTTCTTCCTTTGTCACACCCTCCCCACTGCCTCCTCTCCCAGTGGGAAAACAGCCTGAAACATCTGCTCTAATCCTGCTTTGCGCTGTGTTGTTGCAGATGCGGCAGGCCAGACGGCTGTCGAACCCTTGTATACAGAGGTATACGTCGCGAATCGGGGAGTGCAGCAGCACGTACGTCAGCTCGTCTAAACCCCCTATAAGCTGTTATAAGTTCACCTTTCCAATACCTTTTTTATTTTCACCTCTCACTTGTTGGCCCTTTTTAGCTGTAGACATTAGCCGTTTTCACACAGGAACCCCAGAAATGCTCAGAGGAACATGCAGAAGGTTGCAGATAAAAGGAAAAGACTTTAGTCGGCGCTTTGGGAGACTTGTTTGCCCATTTTCTCCTGCACTAATCCTGCAGAATTTAACTTTTTCAGAGAGGTGGAAATGTCCACAAGCAGTCCAGAACAAATCCTGCCGACATTTTTAAACACTGCATCTTTAATATACCTCTACAGCACCTCAGAGCTGCAGTGCGTGTGTGAGAATGGCTAATATAAAAGAAAGTCAGGTTTTTTTGTTGTTTTTTTTGCACCTGATGCTGCTCTATTATTTTTCCCCTTGTGCTAAAGAATCTGCCACATCCCAAATATGGCTGCAGAAACTTATCCGGTCTTCCTCCTTTCACGCTCTCATTCTTAACGCTTTTCTTGTTTACCTCTTCTTTCCTTCGCTTTCATTTGGCTAAACTGTCTCATTAGGCTCAGGAATACGTTTTTGTTCCGCTGCATTCAGATTTTAGGTGATCTGGGTTGCACAGTGCAGTTTGTGCATGCAGCTACGGCAACATTGTCATACATGCCCAAAAATATCATGCAGCATACAGATGTATATATATATATATAAAATAATCTGGAAATGTTCCGACTGTCACAAGATATAAGGAAAGTAGGCCAGCTTTTGTGTTTTCTGATTAAAAATACAAAAACTGTGGGAGACTTTTACAATCCTTCCTTAAATAATTACATTTTCTTTGCAGCTGCACACGCTTTAATCACTAATTAGATTCTGCAGATGCATGTACAAGTCTTTTGTAGAATTAACACAAAACTTAAAATGTCTTTGAACTTGATGTAGCAACTCTACCTCGCTTGCATCTCAAAACTCCAGTAACTTCTTTCATAAGTTAAAATAAAGCATTTTCTTATTTTCTTGCCCTGCTTTTGCCGTTTTTCACTGCTGGTAAAGATGTTGATACACAGACAAGAGCCACGGCCAGCTAAGACACCGGTGTCTCTTGTCGCCACTGTTGTCACTCACACCTTCTTTCCTCTCTTGTCCGGCTCTCTCTGCAGTCTGCTGCAGCTGTGTACCTGTCTTAGATGTGTGACGTCCTGCTTGTCTCTTCTCTTCCCTCCTGTTCGCTGCCTGTATGTTTTTTCTTCCCTTTTCTTATTCACATAACACGATGTCTGTGTCTAAATGTGTGACATTTAGCAACCTTTTTATTATTATTATTATTATACTTTTTTAGCCGAATATATGAGTTTTTAAGAGTTATTAAAGGGTTAACGGGACATTAGTTGAGTAATTTTTATTAATTTTAGTGGTCTATAATTAGGGTTGGGCATCGAGCGTCCATTGAAACTGGGACTTTCGGTGTTTCTCCTTAATTGTTCAGATTTTAAAATTTCGATTCCTAGTTTTGATTCCCAGACCGGAAGACAAGTCCGCAGCTGATGTCCATGGGGGGGGGGGGGGGTTGATCTGTAAATTCTGATCGCCTTTGAGACTGTCGCTCCTACTCTGCAGCTCGCAGACCCTGAGTGTGCAGCATTGCATCTCCCCCCTCCTTTCCCTCACACCAACTTTAAGAGAGGGACGTAGAGTTTGCATCCAGTAATGAAAAATAAGCTGCGGAAGCTCGATAAAAAGCATCAACACAGTGAATTTAATACCAGTTCAAACTCCAGGCGGTGTGAGGTGAGTTTTTACATTTCAGTTTCTCTTTAGACTTCATTACTGCTGCAGCGTTGATGTCATCCTAGACATGATCGTCCTGAAAGTTCTGGTTGAGAACGGCTGGACTTTTCTGGTTGTGCAGAAGGCATTTTACCTCTCATCCTAGAGACCTTTTCAGTTCCCGTACTTTGGTTGTGGTCAGAAACAAACACGCTGATTGTGCTGGAAGTGTTTTTTTTTCTTTCTTTCTGTGTTTAAAGCTGATGTTATTGTTCGTAGAATTAAAAATCATGTTAAAGGTCGGATGATTTCATCAAGGAAGACCCATGGATGGTTGGATTCTGCCTCTTGAAAGAATCGGAATTGAAACACGGAATTGGAATTGGAACTGCAATTGTTCAAATTCAAACAATGCCCAACCCTATTAATAATGCCGTTTTTGTTGTTTTCTTGATACTTTAATTGGTGTCTTATCGATGTCATGTGTGTCTTACTAATGTTTCACCAGCAGCAACTACTTTCCTGCTTTCACCGTGTCTGTTGTGTTTTTCTCTTTTCTTCCATTTGTTTATTTTCAGCGATTGAAATCTGACCATGAAAAGCTGTGAAATAATAAACAACCAGCCATTTGCTTCCAAAGACACTGTTTGACCTTTTGTTGCAACTTACAACTAAACCCTGCTTCCTCTACTACTACTGCTACTACTACCACCACCAAGTCTGCTCTCTTCAGCTTCTACACCCTCCAGGCTCCATCTTGCTGGTGCCAGCCTTTTTGAATAAACGCATATCAGGATTTGCTTTCTCCCCCCCTCGCTAACAGCAGCTCGCCTGGCTGATTCCTCGTCTTTCTGTGTCCCGCTGCAGGACCTCGGCAGCCGCTCCACATTCTACCGCAGCCCAGCAAGTACCCCCGTCCCTCGCACGCCAATATCTGCAGTGCCACCGAGCTACTCAGAGCGGGGGTCCGCTGTCCCGTGCGACCCACACTCACAGCCTGGCATGGGACAGCGAGCACTTCATGAGCCTGCTGCCACGCCCCATTCACAGCCACGCGTCGGCACGCCTGTCCCTGCAGGAGACGCGCCTGGCAAAGTGACCCGTCAGCCACCCGCGACTTCCATCGCTAACTCGGATGAGTCGCCTTGGCGACGGCGGAGCAGCTTTGAGCCCCATATGCCCAAAACTCGCCTCAGCATGGATGATGTTGATCTGCCAGTGAGCGAGGTCTGACCTGCTCCACTGCTCTGGCTTCTCTTGATGGACTAACAGGAAGCCCCGCTCGACTAAACAAAGCTACATCACATCCGAGATGGGTCCGAACTGCACTTATGTGCCAAAGACAGCACAGTGGCCACCTAAACCCTTCCTCCTTACCCCTGACTTAGAACGGCACAGTTACCTACAGAGTCGACGCTGAAGCTGTTTGACTTGTTCTGAATAAAATTCAGCCACAGAGCTTTATTTTAACATATATGGGGACATCGATGTTTGTGACCACTTTGTGCCAATTAAATAAGGGAGCTTTTAAGGATGCAAATTGTTCCTCATGTCTGAAATGAGCGTTTAAATTTGGGATCGGCTTCCCGTCACCTCATGAATCAACAGCTTTATTCACTTGCTCAAAGCAACACTGTAGACACATTTAGTCCTGGAAAAGTTGCCATAGATCCTTTTATATTTTTTATCCACACCAGGGTTCAGATCCGATTCAAGTCCTCTGGGACTTTACTGATCACAGATGTTGAAGCGAATCCAACTCTGCTTGTTGATTTAAAGGATCAAAGATGCACAAGGAGGAGGAAACGCGAGAAATAATGAGTGGGCGTGTACTAAAGGGCTGAATTCCACTCTGAACGACGTGAAAGCAGCAGCTTTTTAAGTGAAAGAGAAGTGCAATTCTGTAATTTACAATAAAAAACAAGTCTCCGCTAACGATCAGCCTTATGTTCTGACATAATAACGACCATACTGTACGAAGCCTGACATTAGTCACATCAGTTGCATGCTAATATTTTTAAAATCCTTCAGGTGTTTGTTATTTACTAAAGCTCTGGATGTTGTGTTTATTTTTTATTATTATTGTTTATTGTGCTTTTAAACCTGTCCCACTTCTGTTTTCTCGTGTTAATATCACCAGTCTGATTCAAGGCAGCTGCCACACCGTGTCATTTACAATACTCCACTGTAATCCTGCTCAGTAATGCACACTAATCATGTTTTTGTTGTTATTCCTCTGGAGCCAAGTTGTTTCACTCCCGTTTCAGTCTGGTGTAACTGGTTTGAATTGCTTCTATTTATTAAGTGGATGACTTGAAAGAAATAAACACTGAAAATTTGCCCAGGGGTCAGAGTTGTTCTTGTGGAGGATTTTCAAATCTGAAAAGAAATAAAGTTGATTTAACTAAAGTCCTCCTCTGCCCTCTGGTGGACAGGAAGTGAAAACGTCATCAAAAGAAAAATATACACCGTCTTAAGAGGAATAAGTGTTTACTTTTCAGGTCTTTTAAATATCTGTTAATAGTTCCCACTCGATCTTTGAAGATATCTCAGATTTTGACTTTTGGACCGCACATTATCACGTCGTTACCGCAGATGACCACAAGGTGACGCCATAAACCCACAATTGTCTGACCCGACAGCTATTTTTACCCGAACCCACCAAGGATCAGGTTCGGCCACTGGTCGTCCTCTCTCCCCACCGGTCTCGCCATGTTGGGGTATATCTGTCGTCCCACATTCCCTCCTTTATCCCAAAATTAAAAGTATCTGGGCGACGGAGTCAGCTGTGACAGTGTCACCATGTCGAGTGTCTCCTACATCTCCAACCTGCTGGAGAAGATGACTTCCACTGACAAAGACTTCAGGTAAAGTAAACGTTTGTGAGCAGCTCTGAAGTGAGTTGACAATTTTTAGTCTGACTGACATCACGTGATTGTCCTTTTATTCGTGCGTGGGAAATGGAGCCGGAGGTCTGCAGTAAACTATTCAGTCATTTGCTGGAAACTAGGTCTGATTTGAGCTTATTAAACAATAGATGAAGATGCTTTCATTAGTTCCATATATTTTAAAGTTAGATATTATATCAGAAGTTTCTGTATTATAAGGAACATAAACAAACATTCAGAGCCAGCTGATAGGTCCCGGGGTCCGGGAAGAGAGGCTCAGTAGGCCCCCCATTTGGGGGAAACCGAAACGTGCATTTGTTGGAGGTGCTCTAGATCTGTGTGTGGATCCCAAAAATGCTTTCACCACAAGGATCCCCTTTCCTGTGTTCAAGACAAGCCAGTGCCCCCACGCAGAGCTGTAGAAATTTGCGACACGCTTTGAACTCGCGGTCACGTGGTTCACGGAGCTCTCAATAGTTCCAAACATCCCAGCGCCGTAAGTCAGTTTGAACGGCGTTTGGTGGGACAAATCGCTAAAATTGAATATTGTCGCATTCCCCCGGGTGATTTTTTGTAATTATTGAATTATATATTATGTCGTAATTCCTTCACAAAGTAGCCTATTTATATTTTTCCGAGCATTTGTAGGAAGACAGACACCCGTGACTGTTCTACACAGGAATACGACAGTCCTAACACATTGTAGAACACATTTAGACCACATACATTACTATAATATATTATAGCAATACATTTGATGTAGTAATGCAACACACTGCTCTGATATAAGCTTATTTAATAAGTCCCACAAGAAGCCCTAAACTCGAGTTGTAATATCCATTTTAAAGTGTTTATTGAAAGCTAGAATTATTTTCCAGCTTACCTTGAAGAAAATATGTAGCTTTGAATGATGATCCATTATGTTCCGTAGAATGCATTTTACAATCAGTACATTATATTTTTATGTGAAGAGAGTACATCATCTATAACCCAGTTTATCTGGCTTCTAGCCTGACTAATAGCAACTAGTTAAAAAGAAAATTCTGGTGCTGTGAAGCTTAGAGGCTTTTTAGTGCTTTTTTCTTCAATTTTTGAGCATTTGTTATGATGCGTAACCATGGCAACAAGCTGGTTTTGGCTGTAAGGCTGGGATCAACTGATGACACCCGGTCAAGCTAACCTGAAGCTAACCCAAAGCTAACGCGGAGGTGGGAGCTAAGCTAACGAAGGTAGCAACCTAGCTACAACCGGAGTTAACTGTGCACAACACCAGAGCTTCTGAGTCAGAGATACGCCGGGCTGACCGCTGGGTAAAACCGGGTGGAACACAGAGGTCTCCCGAAAGCTGCTGAAAGCCGGCAGCCCACGCAGCACACAGAAGCCACGATCTGACAGATGCACCCAAGAAAAGGGTGGAAAATAGAGGTCCCCCGAGAGCTCCACAAGCCGATAGTCGGAACCCAGTTCCACCAACATGTTATATTTCAACCCATTTTCTAAAGTGCAGCATTATGTTAAATGCACTGGGTTTTACCCTATTAAATTTAAATTTCATGGTTAAACAGTACATGTTAAAATCTAAGCTCAGCTTGGCAGTGACCTAAAATACATAAATATAATTTTACTTACTGAAAAAAATTAAGTGGAGACTCCTTGGACGCTCTATTAGTGCAATTAATGCCACAGCAAGTCATTTTGTCCAACAATTGCACAAAAAATATCCAAAAAAGAATTCCCAAACACAGAGATTAAAAATGCCGGAGCAGTTTCCAAGCCAGACCGAGGCTCTACTGAGGCCTTTCCACTGAGCTAGCTCTGTGGTCACGTGGGTCGGATGCTCATTAATTATACAGAAATTTAGGCTTTTAATACACTTAAACAGAGTGAGGAAAAAATTCACCCCCCTCAGAGTTGTCATGAGTGTAAACTAGATCATTTAAACAAAAAACATGTTTTGGTACCAGGCTGTAAACATGTTTATTTCTGCTGTGAAATTGGTCATTTTAACATGGGACTCAATGAGGATTTGCTCGCTTCTGACACCAGCCCCCAGCGGATGAGGGTGGAACTGCAATTTTTGGTACTTCCGGGTTGGCCTCAAATTTTGAGCCGCATTGTGGGGGCTTGTACCAGACATACAGTGTGAGCAGTCAGGTCGCATCCGAGAACTGGGTCGTACAGTGTGAGCACATGACTCGTGAGATCTTCCCTGCGAGGAAGTCGTACAGTTTGAGCTGAGGCTGAGTGCTACGAGTGAAAAAGTCGCACAGTGTCCGCCCAGCTTTATGTAGTTTATCAGCAAGAAAAGGGTTGATTTGGGGGTGAGTTGCTCTTTAAGCTAGATCATTAACAATGATCTCAGAGATTGTTGGGTTAGAAAGTCGACAAGTTTTATATTTGACATCATTCTGCACTCTGCAGACCAAACATCACACTTGACAGTTTTGTGAAGCAGGTAGGTGGCTTATAGATGGAGCTCTTTACCTGCATTATGATTGTTAGCTGTAATGCTAGCGATTAGCATTTTCAGTTTGCATATCATCAATAAAAAGCACAAGAAGAAGAAAAAGACGAAGTTTGCATTTTCTGTTTGCACCGTACCAGAGCCCGGAAGTAAAAGTAAGAGAGTAATGTCTTTGGAAGCGAAGATGAGATGAAACCAGAGTGAACATTGGCATGTTCTTACAGTAGTTTGAAGAGGCTGAAGAAGGCTACAAAATCACAGACTGATGGTGACCTGTCTTTGTTGCTACTGGACTTGTGAGAAATAATACCAGTAATAACAGTGTGGATGTTATTACTTTATGGTTTAATTAGCTCGTTGTTAGCACATGTTACGGCAGGGTTGTTCCAGAACTGCACTGCTCTGGGTGGCTGCATGTTGGAGTAGCTCTGTTGACTATATGTAAGTCTTGCCTTTTTTTGGACATTTTTTCTTCTAGTTTCTCAAGAAAACTGTGTTTTTTGGACATTTTACTTTTCTGTTTCTGGTGTTGTGAAGCTTAGAGGATTTTTAGTGCAATTTTTTCATTTTTTGAGCATTTGTTATGATGCGTAACCATGGCAACAAGCTGGTTTACAATCGGGAGCAGCTGATTAACATTGGAAGGGCTGAAATAATACCTCAACTGAAGCCACAAATCTCAAATGAGCTAAAACGTAACCCTACTAAAGCCGGGCGGACACTGTGTGAGTTTTTCACTTTTTTGAGCCGAGTTTCCACTCGTGGGAGAATCCACAAGATCGGGGCGAGTTTTGCGCTGAGCGTCGTGTAGTGTACAGGGGGTTACGCGAGGCAGTTAACACCACGTGACGAGCTACCGATCAGCAATCGTGAGCTCGCACGGATATCTGGAGTGTTTGATATTTTGCTCGTTTCTCGTGAGGTTAAAGCGGCGCAGCGAACGGCTGCAACCCAAAAAAGTATCAGAACCGCTCACGGCGCATGCGCAATCATGCATCAACACCACTCACCCGCTATTTCCCTAATAACACGCGTTGTTCGTTTTTATTTCTTAACGTTCTTTTTACACACAGTGACAAGGATTGTCAAGAAAGCGTGTTTGTTGTGTTCATGTCAAATGAAGCTGATCACAAAACACAGATTTACTTTCTTTATTTTGTTTTCCTCATCCAACCCCCAATGATCCCAGTGTGTCCTCCTGCAGCACTCCCGAAGGACAACAGGCAAAACAACACAAAAAAGTCTGACGTGTTGTGTAAAAACTGCTATTTTTAGCATATTCTTAGGTTAGACGTGTTGCTACCAGACGTACAGTGTGAGCAGTCAGGTCGCATCCGAGAACTGGGTCGTGCAGTGTGAGCACATGACTCGTGAGATCTGCCCTGCTAGGAAGTCGTACAGTTTGAGCTGAAGCTGAGTGCTACGAGTGAAAAAGTTGCACAGTGTCCGCCCAGCTTTATATAGTTTATCAGCAAGAAAAAAGGTTGATTTGGGGGTGAGTTGCTCTTTAAGCTAGATCATTAACAATGATCTCAGAGATTGTTGGGTTAGAAAGTCGACAAGTTTTATATTTGACATCATTCTGCACTCTGCAGACCAAACATCACACTTGACTGTTTTGTGAAGCAGGTAGGTGGCTTATAGATGGAGCTCTTTACCTGCATTATGATTGTTAGCTGTAATGCTAGCGATTAGCATTTTCAGTTTGCATATTATCAATAAAAAGCACAAGAAGAAGAAAAAGACTAAGTTTGCACTTTCTGTTTGCTCCGTAGCAGAGCCCGGAAGTAAAAGTAAGAGAGTAATGTCTTTGGAAGCGAAGCAGAGATGAAACCAGAGTGAACATTGGCATGTTCTTACAGTAGTTTGAGGAAGTTGAAGGATGCTACAAAATCACAGACTGATGGTGACCTGTCTTTGTTGCTACTGGACTTGTGAGAAATAATACCAGTAATAACAGTGTGGATGTTATTACTTTATGGTTTAATTAGCTCGTTGTTAGCACACGTTACAGCAGGGTTGTTCCAGAACTGCGCTGCTCTGGGTGGCTGCATGTTGGAGTAGCTCTGTTGACTATATGTAAGTTTTGCCTTTTTTTGGACATTTTTTCTTCTAGTTTCTCAAGAAAAACTGTGTTTTTTGGACATTTTACTTTTCTGTTTCTGGTGTTGTGAAGCTTAGAGGATTTTTAGTGCAATTTTTTCATTTTTTGAGCATTTGTTATGATGCATAACCATGGCAACAAGCTGGTTTACAATCGGGAGCAGCTGCTTAACATTGGAAAGGCTGAAATAATACCTCAACTGAAGCCACAAATCCCAAATGAGCTAAAATGCAATTGACCTTGAGCAATATCTCATGCAGATTAGTTCTTGCTGAGGAGAGGGGGGAAATGACTGTTAGGTGGAAAACAGTCATTTCATTCCGTTACACAGGAAACAGTGAACAAGCATCGAGTGATATGAAGCAGATGCTCATTGACAGATTTAAAATGAAGGACTTAAGGAGATTAAAT